TTAAGCTAACAGTCCCATTAAGTATTGGACTATCTATATAATGCAAAATAACACTGATGAATAAAGATGTTTAAAAGATTGAAAATTTAGTTCAGATAAACCAGATCTGATGTTGCAGTGGGAAATACCAGTTTTGTCACATCCAAGAAAACAAGAAATCTTTGTAATACATTTTCCTGACATGGATAGTACATTTGCAGCACAGAATATGAAATATTTGCATTTGCAGCCCTGTTTGGTGGGTCTTCTGATGTAGAAAGGTTGAGGAGATTCATCCTTCACTACAGAGCTGCAGCTGGCCACAGGATTGGGGAGGAAAATATATCAGCGAAATATCCTATTTAATGGATAAGGATTGCTTGACCCAAGGTTGACAGACTGTCCTGCTACGGGTCTTTTATTTCCTCTTGGGCTGGGAGAATATTAATGATGCATAATTATTTATTGCATGTGTTGTACAATAATGATAACAACAATATTATGAAGAATAATATTTAGATAATGTTAGCTTAAGTCTTTTGCAGAAACTGCAATTCTTCATTGCTCAAGGTGCCGCAGAGGATTAATAAAAAGCTACCTCATCTGTTTTGGCAAAGTGATCAACTCATTATAATCAAGAAGAAAACACTGGAAGACTTAAGAGCTTCCCAGCACACCCAGGGTCAGCCGGCGTGATGGGTCAGGAGGATGGGGATGTTTCATACCCTGTGACAGAAGCTGAAGGCATTCAGCGATACAGTGATGTCAGCAACTGCTGACAAGGTGTTCCGCACCCAAATGTTGCTGAATACGATTGAGGGCAAGTCTGGTTCGGGGAGCTAGGATTAGGGGGTTCCCTCAACTTTTATAGTGTTACTCTTGCTGTATTTTGATTGGAGGCTCAGCAATTTGGGTAAAAGCTGGGAGTGTTCATTTGCTTCCATGAAAGAACTTCTGAAAGACTTGTGTACCCTGACAAGGATTTGTTCTCAACTTAAGTAGCTCTTAATCATCATATATGATGTTTTTTTCTGTTTCCAAATTAATTAATCTCTCCCCAAAGACCTAAACTAAGCAGTTTTTGAAGCAAATAGGAACTCTTCATCTCCATGCAGTCATTGAAGTTGAGAACAAGGCTTTTGGAAAAGGTTGCCACCTTTTGAGTTCTGATTTTCTTCTTGGGGGAGACATTTAGTTGGCAAGTACTAATTACATGTACACCATGCAATCAAATACATATCTTGCCATTCTGAGCAAAGCTGTAAAATGATTTCATACCTTTGTGCTAGACGTGAAGTTGAGGCTTCTAAGATAATTCTACTTTATGACCTTTTACCAATCCTATTCCATCCCCAGATGCTTCCTTGGACTGTGAATAAAACTGACGGTGCCAGTTCCAAGAGGTTAAAGAGGAGAAAACCCCATCTTTGACTACAAGGGAGGAGGTGAGAGGATTTGAGAAAAACCAGCAAATCCACACAAAATGTAAAAGGATCAAAGTTATATGTGGGATCTCCAGTGTTCTTTACTATGGCTAAAAGGTCTGCAATAAAATACCCCATCAATTGTCAAATGCAAAAAGTTCACTGTGGAAATGAAACCGTTAAGGAGCTTCCTCATGTTGTGAACACTGACTCTTCAAATTATTTGCATTATGCTATTTAAACTTGCAGTTTACAATGACTATTTCTGCCGTTAGTTTTTTAGTTAGCAAAAATAGATGACCTATTTTGCTGTCAATGTGCAAGCTTGGCTCTGTAAAGACATGGGAATACTTCAAATCCGGCTCAGCCAGATCACAGAAATATGTCTGTGCACTCTCCAAGTGCATTCCCTAAATTGGATCCTGATCCCCAGTATTAGAAGTACTGGGGCATTTATTTTAAAATGTGTCTGCCTATTTATTGTCCAATACTGCCTCACAGTATTTTTTGAAAGGAAAAAAAGAAAAAAAAAGTCAGTTAGTTGAAATACATGAGACTAAATAATTTCATTTCTTGGTATCTTTTTTTTTTTTACGACAGAATTTTTTTTGAACATTCATTGTGATCTGCAAGAAAAAAATAAACTAATCAAACTTGCCATTACGCACCTCACTGGAGGTCTGCCAGGACCTCCATAACACAGTCTGGTTTTACAGGATTCATAGATTTCTACTGCAAATGCTCAGTCCAAGCTGAAATTTGGCAAGCTTGTTCATGATACAGTAATACTCTCTTCTGCACATAAATGTTGCTTTTCTCTGAAAACTGGCAGTAATGCTAGTGAAGCTTTTCTTTTATGGCTTCTATAGATTTCTGTTTACAAATAGGTAAATTCAGTCTAAGTACTTGGAGAGTCACCTTTTTATTGCATACTTAACAAATGATTCAGCCTTTATGGGGAGAATTTGCAGCTAAACTGCATTTGCATTTTGCATGCTTTTCTACTGTATTCCATCTCCATAATAAGTCATGCTTTTTTTCATTATGGAATTGGTGCGCAGTCGCTTCATAATTACAATTGCAGCTATGTTGCTGCTCAAAGCTGAATTTCTTACGCTGTCCAGTTAATCCGTTTTTCTGGATTTTCGCGTAATTATTGTGTAAGTATTGATTAGAAAGAGCTACAGCTTAGCTTTAAATAACAGACTCATTTAAAGTAACTTTTCACACTTGATTTCTCATTTGTTTTTATTGCATCCTGTCTTTTATTCCTCTGCATCCTGCATTTTCTCATCTGCTTGCATTTTCAGGGCAACGTTGTACATTAGGAGACCTTTGGGTTATGTTATAAAATCTCTCCCAAAGAATACGTAAAACAAGTAAATCTGCTTACTTGGTGGCTTGTAGGAGGGTTTTTCCTCCTTGGTCACCATTTCCGAGACTGGCCCATGGCGGACTGCTGCCTTATGATGAATTCAAGCAGCAATGCTTCCAGTTATGATATTTTAAGCTCAACACTTAAACAGTTAATCTGAAAAGATATGCAGATATGCTTACTTGGGGGCCTAAATGATTGCTGAACGACTTTGAAAAGCTGCCCCTGGTATGATTTATGTGGAAACGTTGTGTCAGTCCAGGTCTCTGTGAAGGGAGAGGGGGGTATCAACATCACAACTAAGAACCTTCATAAATAAGTACCAGAAATTGAGGAGGAAATGTTCTCACGCCTCCGAACAATCCCCTCGAGTTGCAGGCGAGGCATCTACCGATGCGGAGCATTGTTCTGCTGTGCACGTTGCCTCCTCCCTGAATAAATGGGGGATTGTCCGGCCACCTTTCTTTATGAGTAGTGAACCTATCATTAATTCTTTTTATTTGTTTTTAAGGAAAACATTTTATCTTTAAATCTCTAAGATTAGAAGTTTCATGTCATTCAATTAATTAAACAATGCAACTCAAGAGCCATAAACATTAAAAAGCCTTCTTGGAAGCAGACTGTGGCCCAGTCCATTGGATAAATTGATTGATTACTTCTGTGGCTGTTCCTAATAATCTGTAACATTTTTTCATTAGGCAGAAACTTGTTTTCCTATTTAGTATGCAAACGTGAGATCTGGAGCATTCTGCCCATGTGTTATGATTTCTTTTTTCCATTATGCAATCACAGAATGTGTCACTTCCCTGTTTACAAAAGAAAAATGTAACAGATAAAATTTGTGTTTAGTAAGGATTTTGATCTTCAATATATTAAAGAAATTAAAGTCCAGGGTTGGCAGAAAATCATAAATCATGGTTATGCGTTTCTCTAGAATGATTTTATGGATGCTAGGGCAAAGATATTACCATGTGCACTCTGGTTATGTAGAAATGCCACTAGAGGCTATTTTCTTTCTTCAAAGGTGCCCTTTAAGCTCACACAAAATTACTCTTAATAGAGTAAACATGCAATTTGCACAAAACTAACACAATGCATTCCAGGTCACATGTCACAGAGAAAAAAAGAGAAAAAAAGCATAGTGAAAAATTTGTGATGAATTTTATCTTTCTTTCCTGATGAGACTTTTTCCCAGAACCTACAGTTCTCTAAAAAGGCGTTATTTCCAATTTTTCCAAATATTTCTGCTATTCATTTTTAGCTTGAGAAATGTCCTTAGTAAAGGTTTGACACTAAAAATTTGAGTTATATGGACTGTAGTGTTTGATATTCTTTTCTTCCTGGATGAGGTGAGTTCTCTGGTGCTAGGACCAGAATGTGTTTCAGAAAGACCAGAATGAATTCAGAATGTGTTTGCTATGAGTAACCTCAAAATATTTGCTTAAAAGTAATGTTTCTCCAATCTGGAGAAAAAATTCTGCAGAGTTTGGCTTTAGTGTTTGGCCATATTATCCATGTTGCTCCTTGTTATGACACTCTCTAACAGCTGTCCACAATACGATATGAAAATCTGATCTTTCATTTGTTTCTAAGAGGTGCATTTCTAATCCTGACAAGGAGAAAAGAAGGCTGAAAAATACACCTTGAGGCACGTATGGTGAAACTAACCCAAAATACATGTGTATACGTGTCTGTGTGTGCATGCGTGTGTGCACACACTGTCCTGAAGCAGACTCGGGAATTCACCATCTGTTGTTTACCGTATAGATCTTAATTTGTTCCTCCCCTTCCTCCTTCTATCTCCTTTACCTTTTTTTTAACAAAATCTTTACCTGGTAACCGCATTGTTATCTTGGAAAAAGTTGCATAGATATTTCTAATATCCACCCTTTGTTTTCTTACCACAAACCAGTGAAGGAGTTCATGGTGACATTAATACTTTGAACACAATTGCTTGTAACATGTATTATCTTTTCTATGATGTTTTCCTACCAGCTCCTTTCTATCATCTTGCCTAAGCCAAGGCGGGGTTTTCAGCTTGGGTGTGTACCTGTAGAAAATGACATCACAAATTTGTACCTGTGGAAAATTACATCACAACAGAAGATTGAAGTGGTTTCTCTCAGCTGTGGGCTTTGTGGGCGAGCTGTGAGAACAATCCCGGACCTACAGGTGTAGGCTTGGGAGCCATTCAAAAGCAGCTATGGTGCTGAGGTGGTACCATGCACAACTTGGGGGGATGCTGGTCAGTCCAAGTTTTGGAGCCTGATATAGGGCAGGGTAATGTGGGGGGATGCTCGGGCTGGGCTCAGGCACCAGCTGCTGCCTCCAGTCCCTTGGAGGAGCTCTTTTCCTCCCTGGCAGGCGAAGCTGTGCAGCATGCGTCCCGTGACCGCCGGCCGTATGGTGACATTAATACGTGGCTCAGAGGGTCAGGAGGATTGAGTGTGCTGGTAGAAGAAGAGGGCTGTGCCCTGGCCTTTGGTGAAGTGCTGTGCCCTACTTGTCATCAGGATCCAGCTAGAGAATATTTACTTCTCGTGGACTCTGAGGAATTGCCTCTCCCACCTCCACTCTTTACGTATTGTAAAAGCTTCTCCTTTACAAAGCAGTAGCATGGGAAGGGAAATGCTGAACGCTGTAGCTCTTCCCAGGAAGAGAAAAACTAGGTTTGGCAGTTGAATGTGGTTGCATCTCCTTTTCCCCTTTTCCTTCTTCAGCAAATCACTGTTGCGCGGTAAAATCATGAAGGGTGCTCAGCCTCCCGCTCCCAGAGGGGGAGCAAGAGCAGACTCAGGTGCTGCAGCTGGAAGGTGCAGGTGTTTTATACACACACAATCTGAAGACTGAAAACCAAAAATCCCCTTTACTTCTTTGGAAATATTTTTTCCCACTAACTAAAAACAGGAAGTTTGTTTGTTTGTTTGTTTTTTTAAAGATTTGTTATCTTTCTTCACCCTTTTTCTTCCACCTTAAAAAAAAATTTACCTGAAGTCACGAAAGAAAGATGTGGTTCCACAGAGACCAAAACTAGTAGTCCTGAGAATTTAGTAGTGTTTTAAATAGAAGTCTTGCCCCTGCTGTACCAAAGAACTCAAGGAAGACAGCTGTGTATTCTAGAAAAGACTAGGAAAAAGTCTGGAAAAAAAACCCCAAACCAAAACAAAACAGTTTTTATTACTAGAAAGAGTAACATTTTGAGGAAATCAGTGTATATTTCTGGACATTTTGTGGTGGAAAAGCATCTTTGTCAAATAAATGAAAAGGTAGAATGAAGTGAACCTTGAGAAAGACAAAGGAGGCCCCTTCTCTGGGCCATGCACCGTTAACTGTACGACCAGATCACCCTGCTCTTCTCCCTGCCCCTGGAGATGCCTGCTCAAGAGCCACAGGCATCTCGCTCTCTCCTGTTGGAAATTTGGCCAGAGAGGAGGTAGGTAGGGTAGGTGGGAAATACAAGTATAAGTGAAAGGAAGGCTTGGAGACATCAAACAACAGATGCTATTAGATTTGATGATTCCTTAATCTGATTGATTGAATAATCAAACCTGGAAACTGGAAATGAGAAGGAAAGTAACGCTCATGTCCTCAGCTGTACTCCCTTGAAACCAGTACCTGACCGAGACTGACTTCTCACGGCCTTCTCTCTCCTTTGGTTTGGCTTACATACGCTTCCAACCCCTTTAGTGCGGTGTAAACCTGGCGGAGCTAAACCAGATAGTTTGGGGTAGGCCAATATTGTGCAGGAGAGACAGTGGCACAGGCCCTGACTTGCAACGGGCCCAGCGCCTCCTCCTGTGGGGCAGGAAAGGAGCGCCACAGCTGAAGCGAGCCGGCGGTGCTGTGGTGCAGCGCTGCCCCGCAGGCAGCATCGCTGTTGATAAACTCGGAGCTCGGATGCTGCAGGCAGCAGTTCTCAGCTGTCCTGCTGATACCGGTGACCCTGAGGACCTGAGGACACATAGGACAATTCTTTTGTATTCACGAAGAGGAAGGTTGTTCGGGCATTTAACATACTGGTTTGTGAAACATGGGGGTTCGCTTCCTGCGGTATTAAAGGTTTTTGATGTTACTTCTGCGCTGTAGTTCCACATCTGTTGCCAAAGGCTCCTTTCCTCCCAGCCTGTTGCTTGCTGTCTGTGCAGATAGCATATGCATTCAGAGCAAGACCTCGTACTACGTGGATGCATAGCTTTGGTTTGGAGTAAAATATTTATTTGACCTCAGTATTATTCAAATATTTTCCCATTTCCACAGAACCACGCTGGGTGGCTCTGGAGACCTGAGATGAGTCACTTGGGAAGAAAGATGTCCATATTCTGAAGAAATGATCCACAGAAGCTTGGGAAGTGCTGCTCTGCAGCGATTCCCCCTGGGAGCGGTGGAATAGCAGTACTGCGTGCCTGCTGCTCTGCCCTCTGCTCTGACAGGTACTCTGGGGCCTGTGATGGGCTGAGAGGACTGCAGGTAAGGTGCACACATCTAGAGAATGCTTCTAAGCTACACATTTTACATGGTAACTTCTAGAGTAAAGCTGCACATCCCTACAGAGAGCAGCGTCTGGGAGGAGACCCCTACCAGCACCAAGGCTCCAGTTTGCTTTAAGTGAGGTCAAAGTAAGTCTGTTCTTTGGGGGTCGGACTTACGGTCCCGCGTGAAGCAGACCGGGCTAGAGTCACTGTGGGCAGCAAAGGGATGAATGACATAATTGGCATTTTTCTCGCAAGCCTGCTATGGCTGCGCTCTGAAACTCTGAAGGCTTTACCGCTACTTCGCAGTTGTATTCAGCCTAGGAAAGACCGGTAATTGGACGTGATCGGATTGTAGCTGGCTGAAACACCCAGCCCAGGCTTCCGAGTTATGTGACTTATGTCATCCTGTATTGCAGAGACCCTGCTACGTGCCGCATGCGACGGGGCATCTTTCCGGGCTCAGGGGCAGGTTCTGCGCTTTGCCCCCGTCCGGAATGTGGCACCCGCCCCTCCCCGTGCCACGGGGGGGGGTCCCGGGGCGGGGACGGCGACCCCCGAGCGCGCCAGCCCCGCG